TTAGAAGTCTGAAACTTTAGACAGTTGTTGTCAACAACACAATGAACAGAGGGTTTGAATATTGTGAACTTACAATGAAGTATGCCTTTTTTAGGGCCTTTAGAAATTGAAAATGTTAGGCGAGGCTAAAAAAATTGGGTTTTTTTCCCTAACTTCAAAGGATGCAGAGGAAAATAGGAATGACAAACATTATTTTAGTGTTTTTTTACATAAACTAGAAGGCTCTAGCTTTAAAATGATGCATCACACAAGCATGTGAGATGTAAGATGTGTTTTTAAATAAGCAAAGACATTTGGGTATGCCCAACTTTTGTGCACGAGCCAAAATGAGGCGGGTTTTAAGAGGTTAAATATTTTCCAGAATATCCTAAATACAATATATTTAAAAAATCTATTAAAAATCATAATGAATTATTCTTGAGTGGGACAATGTAGTCTCATATACAACCTTGTACAGTTGTCCCTGCCCTTTTATAAATAATATTTGCTACTTTCTGTGTTGGGCTGCTTAGGAAGCAATAAGGGACTTTTGAATTCCTCACAGAGTGCTGCAGCTGTATTTTGACTTATATTTGTGAATAGTCTCTCTCCATTTTTCATGTAGAGGCCTCTTCATCCTGCAGAGCACCTGCATTTAATGTATTTGACTCAACTAGATATTTCCTTTTTATGCATCACATTTTGTAGACTTGAACCCGAGCCAAGATGTTCATAGCCACATTTTAGACTTCGACTGAGGGAATAAAAAAAACAAAACAAGATTGTTATTTTTTTGTACCCATTATTTTGCTTCATCGTGCATGTGGATCATTGCCTGTTTGTCAAGAGGCTTCTATTGCATTATTGCACTGTTACATGTACAGTACTTCTCAGGTGTTTTAGAAATTTGTTTATTAAGCAACTGGTTAAAGACAATAACACAGAACGCAGTTGAAAGCAAGCCACAGGTGTTCATGATGCAAAGTACACATATCTGAAATGGCAGGAGAACTCTGAGGACACTTGCGGGGCTCACTAACATTTTGGTAGGAGGCTAGCCTAACCCTTAACTTATCCCCAATTAAATGTACACTGCCTTCCCCAAACTTGAATCTTAATTTAATCGTATGTTTTTAAGAGATACAAATTGCACCAAAAAGGGAAAGCGAACCCCTCTGCTGGAGATAAAATACAAGATTCTAGTATGACCCAGAGCATGCCACCTTACTGTAGCTGTTAGCTTCTATGTTGGCAATGAAATCAAGCATTTTTCCTATCACTATTGATGATAATCAGTAAATGGCTTCTAAAATTTGGGGTCATAATATGTCCATTAACGCTTGAATACTATGTGTGAGTGAAATCCAGTTGGAAGGAGTCAGATTCAGGTCAATTACCATTTGCAGTAAAACCACATTGGAAGAACTCGGCCGCATTGGGCGGCACGGTGGCAGAGTGGATAGCACTCTTGCCTCTCAGCAAGAAGGTCCTGGGTTCGAATCCCGGCCGGACCAGGGCCTTTCTGAGTGGAGTTTGCATGTTCTCCCCGTGTCTGCATAGGTTTCCTCCGGGTACTCCGGTTTCCCCTACCACTAAAAATATGTACAATAGGTCTGGCATGCGCCTCCTGTTCGGCGACCCCGCTCCCATCTCTGTGTGGAGCGAGAGGACAAATGCCCAAAAATAACAATTGTAAAGCGCTTTGTGACTCTGGTCTGTGAAAGGCGGTATATAAATAAAGCTTACTTACTTAAAAGCTTTTAACTTATGTCTGTGGTGTTTTTTTTTACAATAGGTAACTAACTACAATGGGCTTTTACAACAAGGACTTGCGGCTGCCTAGTCAATCAAGACCTCGCATTCCTACGGTTCCCATGGTGATAGAAAAATAAAAACTAAGCAAAAAGTTTCCTCACCTCTGCGTTTCTTTTAAGCATTCTGCACATAAGGTCAAAAGTCTCCAGGGGGCGCCTTTAGTCTAATGTAAATTCTTAAATTAGACGTTTTGCGATATAAACCATGGGCTTTGAGTCACAAAAGTAGTGCCAAATAATCCAAGAATTAGAGTATTTTAAAAATGCACATAATGATAATGGTACCCTTCAAAATATGAGGATATGAAGAGAGGATTCCCTACCCACTGAACTACCTCTGCCCTCAAACAGAGACGGATCGGTCAGAATTGGAAAACAAACATATAGTTCACATATGGATTTGAACAATTTCATTTCAATTCGTTGAAGTACTGGTAAACCCCTCTTCACCTCCGGCATCACTACATCTGCAGGTTGTGGTCTCTCTCACACTCATACCTTATCTTGCGGCTGTGACCGGAGTTCTGAAATACATAATAAAGTGTGTTGCGTGCACGTGATAACCTCGGCCGCAGCCCTGTGCACTGCTCACTGTATCTGTCAGATTAAAGGGGTTAAAGGCCTCGCTGAAGGAGCAGACAGGATTTAGAGAAAGAAAGGAAATGGGGTTTGGGGACGAAACGGCGAAAAGGTAATCATTTTCCTCAGCACTGTATAGGCGAGATTGGGGGATTTATGATTATAATGAGTGTAGAAGTGCCCAGGGATGATGTGTGCAAGAGTAATTGAGGAATATTCATTTGCCGTGTAACCCAGACTTTTGACATCCAGAGAATAGGCTCATCTTGGTTTGCATTATTATTGAAATGTCTTTTTGCATTGACACAATATTTGTTAACATAAACGTCATTTCCTGACAGTAATTTGGGGCTTTATGCTACGTCTATAGCGTAGAATTACAACCATTAAACCTTGCCGCAGAAATAATTTACTAGCAATATACGGTAGTTGCTTGGAGAAAACAGGCTTGGGGCAAATGCAGAGGACAAATTTCCCAACAGGGACAATAAAGTAGATCTTTAACCAATGAGAAGAGACATGAAACAAGGTCTACACTGTAAACCCTGACAAGTAAAGTTTACTTGAAAAAACCATGGAAATAAATTGCGTATTAACTTCACTTGAATTCCTCGAGTACATCGTTTACTTGATATTACCAAGTAAACTCAAGTGTTTGCAATAAAGTTTAAATTTCTACTTATGTTCCGACTGGGATTTGTACTCAGAACCCTGTAGTTGAGAGGTGAAGGTGCTAACCACTCAGCCCCCGGGCCACCCTGCCATTGTCACACCTGCCTCATTAAAGACTCTACACATCAAAATGTCAAAAGTGAGGCTTACTTGAACAGAAAAAGTTAAATTCAAAGAAAACCCTGAGTGACATAGGCAAGCTTTAAATAAACTAACAATAAATGAGTAATATCTACTTACTGGGAAAAATCTATTTAAAATAACTTTGATATCTGAAGTACGATTGAAGTTAGGGTTTACAGTGTATAGCTGTTTAAAAAAAAATACCATCTATAGTTCTATTCTTCTACTGTACATTTCTGATTAATCTATATAATCTCCCCTCCGAGTGGTGAAATCCACGAGACATGATTTACACCAAACCGAAAGTTCATCATGTGCCTATGTGGTCATTTGGCTTAGTGCGCTCATGAGAAACCAATGCGCTATATCCGTATGCGCCTTTCCACGCCAGTACGCTTGTTATCAACACCAGTGCACGCCGGATTAGCTTGCAAGACAGAAAATAAACGATACACAGTAGATGGGCGGGGACAGATAAAGACTGCAGTTAACTAAAAACGCTGCTCATTGGTCTGTGACTGATACTGACATAGTATTCTGCACCAATGGGCGGATTCCCCTATTCAAATATTCATATCCATCTGCTGTCTTGTATGTGTATGTTGTCAGCACAGAAGGGGGAAGTTCATGTCTCCATGCTGCTTGCTCCTGTCTGAGATGCCCTGATTTGGGTCAACAGAAAAGAGTGTATGCATGAGTGCGCTCTTGTATTCACCTAGCGACACCCGCGTCCTTCCTCTTTATCCCCTCGCCTTGTCTTGTCCGACACTCTTTCTAACATGCACCTATTGGTACGGACACGTTGTCATATTCGTGATGCGTGGCCACCTCTCCCTTTGCTTTCGTTTTTAAGTTTAACTTTTGAGAAATGGACTGATGTCAAATAAACTGCATACTATGGCTTTTGTTGGAGCTTTCTTTTTCTCATAAGTCCGAGGAATATCCCACTATTGCTTTGACTAAACTAATTTTTATTACTTTGGAGTGGGAAGGGGTGGGAACCTCAGGGTACCTCACGCTACAATACGCGATACAAAGCTCATGATAACGATTATATCACAATACGACGATTATCAATACATTGTTCAGAAATATACTGTTATAGAAATCTTTTAGTAAAGCAATCTGAATAAACACGAAATAGTTATAAGTGTAAGTTATTAACTAAAGTAATTCTCAACTCTGGATTCAAATACAGCACATATGGTCTGTTGGCAGCAAGGTCAGCTGATAGATGGAGATGTGTTTCTTTGGCTATATCTGGGTCATAGAACAATATGTTCAGGTCAAAGCAGATAATTACGAGATGCGTAATGTAGCCATATATTAAGTATTGATTCTAATTTAAAAAGATTTAAAAAAAATGATACTTGGCTAAAGCATATTGATAATCGATCGAGTGAGAAAGTATCACGATACATCACCATATCGATATATCGTCACACTTTTGGGGTTTCCCTGTTGTTATATTTAATCAAACCCTGCTGAAGTCTTGATCGTCATAGGACAGGGTTTGTTAAATTATTCTACTACTTTTTAATATATCATTTTAAACTTTTACCCTGTTATATTATAGACCCATAAACAATCTGACCTCATGTTTTTCCTTGGACCAAGACGTCTGACAAGCGCTAACTACCCCACATTCTGTATCATTACGGCTCTTATGTTCTTTGCATGCATTCCTCTTTCTCAAAAGCCATGTCACCACTTCTCAGCCTATTTTCATTGACATAAATTCATTGCAAATCCTCAGATACTTATGAATTACAACTATGGAGAAATGGATCATATTTTCCAAATCCAACATGGAACCTCTTCGTGCTCTGAACAATGCCACCGCTGTTTGTGGTTTTAGAAACTGCTTGTTCTCTGAGCTTGATGGACAGCGGCAGCCAGGTTATTAAGTTTTCTATTTGTGATATCATATCCTCCACATAGGGTCCAGTAACTTCCTTCTTGGCCTCATGGTTCTTGTACAAATACATGTTGTAATGGCAGCTCCACTCAAGGCACCACTTACAAACCATCTATCCCATTTATTTAACCATAGCTTGGAATAACATTGCAATGGCAGACCTCCCTCAACTGTACCTCCATTTGTTTACTTGCAATTTTCAAATTTACAAAAAATGGAAATAGCTATGAACAATTGAAATAGTCGTAACCCATTCAGTAATCGATTATGGTTTTTTGATCATTACATAGACTTGAACATGCTGAGAAATGGTTTTATGTCAGATAATTCTGCAGAATGAAAGTGAATTTGTTTGCAAAGTGTTAAACTACCAAATATGTAACAAGTCATCTTTAGGTGTTCTCCAGAGGCATTTTTTTGTTTTTGTCAAATATAGAATAAAAATCCTTATGAGGAGCTAAACAACACGGCCACCTAATTGATTATCAAAACACTTAAAATATAGGTTTAGGTTTAGAATACTCTGGAAAATGTGATCTACTCCCTCTTCCCCCAACCAAAAAAAAAAACTCCACTCCAGCCCAATTTCATGCATATTCCACTGAACACATGTAGTCTTTGGAATATTCATATTGTCGGCATTAGTTTCCATCATGTTGATCTGAGCGGGTGTGAGCTTGCTGGGTGGAGATTGCGGGCCCTCTGAGCAGCTGTTTTTTCCCCCCGTTTTTTCCCGTGTTTTTTAGCAACGGCATGAATGAATAATTATTCAGGTGTAGCTGCCAACTCAGAGGAGACAAGACAACTCTGCCCGGTTACAGCCCTCAGCCAACGGGAGGAAAAGTGTGCCGAACTGCGCACCATATCCTCATTTCGCTCTCTCACTTTTTCCTTCAAACTGTCTTTAGAAACCACTTTTTTTTTTTTTTTTTACTTTCATGGCGTATGGGACATTTTTTTTAAATTCGCCTCAATTTATTTATCTTACCTCTCTTTCCAAAAATCAAAAATATACCCTGAGCGTGCGGCTTTTTGATTAAAGAACATAGAAACCTTTCACCTCCAAGCCAAATTTGGTTCATTTGCTAACTGCAAGAAAACAAACACTGTCAAATTCAACTGCGTGACTAATTAATTCAAAGTCTGCCGTGCCTTGAGGGATTTGCACACTGTCAGCTAAACCCAAGCTTTTTTTTTTCTTTTTTCTTGCCTTTTCCCCCCAAATACGACAATGAGTCTCTTCCTTTCATGCCTACATCTGCAAAGTATTTTTTGTCTAACCTAGCTACAACGCTGGCCTATCAAAAGCTACAACTCCCTGGCCTGATTTCCCATTGGCTGGTGACATCAATGAAGAACTTGCCATTGGTTGTAGTAGGATTTCTGTTTTGCAGGCAAAGGCGGTTTGAAGATTTTGGTGAACAAATGCCACGTTTGATGTCGAGGCTTTAAAATCGGTCTTTGGGCTTAATAAGCATAAATATTAAAAGCGCGAGAGTGTGAGAAAGGCGAGAGAGGCAGTAAGAGGGCGCTGTTCATTCAGTGTATTGGTACAGTGGCGTCGCAATATTTATAGTGTTACATACGTTGTTACACACGCTGAGAGACGCATAAACAGTAAATTTAAATGCAATTGTGAGCTACAAAAAAAATATAATTGATTAAACTGAGCAAAATAAAAACATGATTCGACATTGTTAGTAAGCCTGTACAAAATGTTCTCATAATTGCAAATGATTTAAAAACATAAAAGGTGTCATTATTATTTTTGTTTGTTCAATGTAGGAAGGTTTTTTGTTTTGTTTTTGTATAAAGAAAAAAAGTATAATATAAACAAAAGCAAATTATCAAGTTTTAATACATCCTTCCTCATAATAGTTGGATAACACCAGAGCTTTTTGTACAATCAAAACAAGGAGAGACGACAAGACTTGGTGATCCCCCTCCCTGGAACGCGCCGGGCTTTATAACCTACACTGTGCTGTGATTGGCCGACAGAGAGCTGCGGGAAAGCCAATGAGAACGAGCCATCATGCCACTTACTCCAATAGAAAGTTGTTGTTTGAGCTGTGGGGGAAAAAGTTGAGTTGCTATTACAGGGAAGGCACATGTGGGATGAGAGAAAGGACGGTAGGGGTCCTGTCCAATAGAGTAACTGGGCAGAAACATGAAGAAATGTGCCAGAATTATTGTTGCTATGGTGATATTACTGTTTACCAAAAACAAGGTTAAAGCCATGAAACAAAAAATAACTATATGCAAAATATTAACATACACCACAAATATAAATATTATTTATTTGCTTCTGTGTAATTTTCCCTTCAACATTGACCACATTGGCTTTCTTATGATTTTGGGGGTAATTATTCAGATTAAATGCTAACCATCAGGCTTAATATTGTTATTGTTTGTGGTTGATCCTCAATTTTATCACCAGAAATTTTACTTTTGCAAAAGTTTTTGGAGCAAATTATTTTAGGGTTCTGATCTTCCGCTTACGGATTTATTTCTTTGATTAGACACAATAACTTGTACATAACATATATACGTTTATCATTAAATCTCTGTCTCAAAATCAGACCCTAATCAAGACTTAGTCATTGGGTTATATAGTACCAATAAATATTGAGAATGTGACAACAATTACTTACAGTACTGTATGATCTAGTGACTCTTGCTTCTATTTTTAGTGCTATGTTGTAGGTTGTACACATAAGACAGCCCCAAATAGCTCTTTTTTGTCTTGTCAGTGCATTTGATTTCGGCATTGACTGTTCTTCATGCCATTCTCCGTATGTGGCAGTAGGAGTAAGCTTACGTGATGCTTAGTTCACAGCTGGTTCAGTTCCTTATCCTTTCTTCTTGTGCGTTCCCGCTGCTCCGTATATGTCAACCCTATGGTGCAGTCGTCAATGCTACGCACAGATCTCAACAACCCTTAAGCTTGTTTTCTCAGCATCTTTTGGCCCTGACATTTTGCACCCAGCATCAGGCATTGGCGTACACCTGTTCTTTTGCAACAGTAAATAAAACAGTCCTTAAAAGTTTGACGTACAAAGAGCTCAGTGAGTTTATCTGATGTGGTGAATAGGGGAACGATTTTTTTTCATAAGCTTCTCAGGAAGTTGTTATTTTTCTCCCTTCTGTTGATTAATCTAAGCCTGCTCTTGTAAAGTGTTCGGATTATAGGAATATTGAAATGAATGGAAAGAAAAGAAGAATTTGAGTTCCTCTCACTTGCACTAAAGCATTTATCTGTTTTCTAGCAAGGAGCAATTTTCAGTCATTTATCGACTTGTTAGCTTTTATCTGGCATTCAGCTAGCTATCACTTCATCCGATTCTGAAGAAAATCCATGTTTTCTGGGGAAGAGGAAGTAGTGTGACTGTACAAGATAGTTCCCAGCATTTTTGTATGATAGACTCGAGAAAGCCTGAATGGTTGGGCATTCTTTATTGGAAGCTTGGATTGGTGCGTAATATGCAAAACTGATTATTATTAACATCGCTTCAAGCAGCCCGATTTTATAGGCCTATAGAATTAAGGAAAGTCGATTTGCATTTAGACCATAATATATGAACAGACAAGAATTTTTGTCAACAACAAATTTATAACCGACACATTTTTCACAAAGCCCCCAATTGAAATCCTGGTTTTATTCCTTGTTTTGTCATTAATTATTTGAGAATCATAACCTTTTTTAGTACTGCGGACACATGCAACCCGGATCACAGACTCTCTGTTTGGTGAAACGGTGGAAGGCGGGACATTTAAATATAAACAATAACAATATTTAGGGGCTGTAAAACTAATTTTGAAATTTAAATATCTTTGAACTACTGTTACAGTTAAATGTATTTGAAAAGAGCCTGGTTTGTTAATGCCGTTTGACATATTAGGGCCTTATAATGATGACTTGACATGAAAATCTTACATTTTGCTACTTTAAATTGGTAGTGACCAGCTTGGAGCCTTTGTGGCCTATTTTTATTATGTGTTATGGGTAAAATAATGTGCATTTTATTTTTGGCTTTTTCAAATTGTGTCTTGTGTCTCTAGGTTACCACCAGAGGGGGGAGTGGAATAAATTTTTTTCTTCTACAGAGAAATTGCCAAAACTTGTTTTAGTCTAGTTTTAAAACTAGTACTGCTTTTAGGACAGAGGTCCAATTGGCATTTCAGGATGGGTCAAATGCAGAGGACAAAGTTCTCCACGTGGATAAATAAATTGCACATTTACGTATTTTGTAAAAAGGCAGAAACAATGACAGTAGTACAATGACATCATACTATTACTGAACTGAAACAGAAACTTTTTGATTTAAGGTACTGGAGTTACATGTTTGTGCCTTAGTGGATGGATGTAAAAACAACTCTAGGTCTGTATTTGATGCGGTAACAATATTGTGACATGGTTAAAATCTCCTTTAAAGCTTATGTTATCTATGTGGAAGCAGCTTTTCCAACTTCTTCCCAGGTCTTCTCTATAGTTATTGAAATCCTGTTTTGTTTGTGTCTTGCAGCTGAGTAACCTGACAGTGTTGGACTTGCGGCACATCTCGGAGCTCAACAACGAGACGGTGATGGAAGTGGTGAGGAAGTGTCGGAATCTCAGCTCGCTCAACCTCTGCCTCAACTGGAGCATCAACGACAAGTGAGTGCTTTCCTCCGCACCGGGCTGCTACTTGTACTTGTGTGTTTCATGGTCAAAGAAAGTACTTGCTGCTTGGTTGTGGTGTATGATAATTGAATTATATGGTGCATAGTAGACGTCAAGAGACTTGCTTGATTACAGCTACAAATATAATTCAAATGCTATCATACATAACAAAAATGCTTACCAAAAATGCTGTACTATACTATCAATACTATAGAAAAGTTATGCATTATTTATTATTTTATTAAATATAGTTAAGATTTACTTTGTCATGTCACGTTTTATAATGTGAAATAGAATATACATGTTGAAACAAGTATGATGGCTGAAAATAATGCTTTTCAGAGAGGATAACAGACCAAACTATTGAATTTGTTGTTTTGGAGTAATTTCACTAATCGAGGTCTGTTTTTAACGCAAGTACAATTACACTTGGTTAATATATTTTGCAGAGCAGGTTTCCTTTATCATTCATGTATGTGCCAGTAATATCCAATTGTTTGTTCAAAAACATATAGTTTAAAAGAGTGGCTTTGCTTGGGGCAGCTCAATGTATAGCATTATTAAGAAGATTCTTGGTTCACTTTGTTTTGCTGATTTCTCCCTTTGCCAAGGTGTTCATCGCAACATGTTTGTACTGATTTCAATCAAAATTGTGCTTGTATCCTTAGTACTACTATTATGCTTGCACTACTTGTTTACCATATGAGAATCCTTGTAATTCCCATATAAAAGACCAAAATGTTGAGATAACAAATTGTATTATACAGTACAGTATCCATTACAAACTAAGTGGTTAATGATTCGAAACTAATGTGTGCGCCAATACTCATAATAAATCCCATAAAGTCCAGTGGAGCCCTTCTGCCGCCTGCTTCTCTGACCATCAGACTAATGGCTCATTATCTGCTTTGTGACAAAAATCATTTATTAATTTCTTATTTTTACAATCTTGTTATAGGGAATGAGCTGTTACTCATCAACCATTAATTAGAGGGAATAATCATGTCTGCTGGTTTTTCAGTGTCTAAAAGCCTGTTAAAAATGTGATTTTCATTCATGGTGAGTTTGATTCGGGTTTGGTGCATGGAAAAATGCGATAAAGGACTGTCATGGAATTACATACCCCAATGAAGGAAAAAGCTCAAAAGGTATTTGTCTTAATCAGGAGCGTAAGTTTATTGTAACACACGTGCGGAAAGCTCACATACACAAAGCAGCGTACATCAGCTCTGGCGCGGCCAGACACAGGTTCCTGTTTACATAGACAACACATGAAAGACAGTCACGCCCACAAAAGATGGGAGGGGGTCACAGTTTGAGACGGGCATCCGGAGGCGAGGCGCCATGCCTGGGGAGAGACACTCAGGTTGTGCCATGGGGATGCAAACAGAGGGACAATAGACATGCAGGATGTAAAAGGTCGATAGAGATGCAGACATACGGACCGATACAGATGCAAGATGCAAAAGGGGCAAGGGTGAGATAGTAATTTGCGTCATTGTCTGTCGGTGCGGGGGGGAGCCCGGCTCCTTCCTGCAGGTTAATTGAATAGAGCAGCGGGGGGGGGGTGAGTTGGCGTCCTTGAGGCTAAGCAGCTTGCCATAACAGGACCTTCTCTTCTCTCTCTGAAAAATGCGATAGTTTGGCAATAACATATGTATGCTCTTATAGCCTTTTTTAATCGCATTGTCTTTTCTGAGTCTTGCAGTTGAAACTTTGCATGTGCTCTCTCCACTGGCTTCTTCAATGACTGTAAATTCAGGGTGGTGTCTGGTTCCACCTCTCTCTTCAGCCTCTTTTCTAGTCCTCCAGGGGTAGAACCATCTAATCATACAAAGCTGATAATGAGTTGTACCTGCAAATGGACAACATACAGTATTTTTGGTGAAATGCAGATTGTACTTGACATCAACCTCGTCTGCATATGGTAACACTGCCTTTTGTGCGTTGTGTGTTCCCGATGTTATACCTGGTATCGCAGGCTGTGGTCACTTTTGGGCAAGTCGCTTTATTGTATTCAATATGTTTACATGTAAACTTCTGTAAATCCTTTCTCATAACGAACTTGTACATACAAAAATATGTGTTCCTTTTCATCGGTTACAACACTAGAATCTAATGCACTCTCTGTCACATTGTAAATTCAATGTTGAAAGCTTGCTGCAAGGTATAGAACAAAACGGCCACAATTTAAAACACAAATTTTGGTTTTGCTGTGTGTCCCGCCTCTCTCCTGCGGTACTCCTAAACAGTACAAGACCTGCACTTGACAACTTTGGGATAGCAGCCGCTCTCTAATTTATTATCTGGTGTTTTATTCATATGTTTCTATTTAATGTATTGATTTACAGGCACCGGTGGTTCCTCTGCCAAATGCACTCCCACTCAGACCCAGGCGTGTGAACACAATATTGAATTTATCTACAATGGATGTGGGACGAGGGTGTGCGTATGAATTATTCTGGCCTTATTCAGTTTACAGCTATGGTGGGAAGGTTATGGTAATGCCCTCCTCTCTATCTCCAATATTTAAAAAAAAAAAGACATGGGAATTTGGTGAAGTCCTCAGAGGAGCTGGTTGCGTTATCAACTTCTTTCCCATTTTCACAATTCACCGGAGCAGCACAGCCCGGATTGATTCAAGGCTGCATTGATTTCAAAATGATATTTACTGCAGCGGGGCACGGCGGCTTCACCTGGGGGAATAGAGGAATCTGTTTGTCCGTGCGTGTGTTGCGTTTTGCTTGTCGATAAAGAATGTGTCTCTGAGCATATGGTTAGCATGTTGCGTATGACAAGAGCAATATGAGGTCGCTGGAATGCAATGAATTATACGTTTGTTTGAAAAGAAGCTGAAGCAGACAGAAAAATGTGCCTTGCTAGAGATGGGACGTGAAGCAAAGGGTGGCTCTGGTTGTCCTCACAAGCAAATAACCTATAGCTTGGGTCAAATGTGGTTGGAGATGTATTTAATCTTTGTCAACCTATAGAGCAGCATGGCGTGTATAGAAAACATGATTTTTTTCCAATACTTAAAACTAACGAGAGCTGGCTATAGGGGAAGGCAGTTGTTTAGAGGTCTGCTGTGCTCCATTGATCTAGAATGGTCAATGCCAGCAGCTTTTTTGGAATCTACTGTGTGTGAGAGATGCAAATGTTCCTCAAACAGCTGAGGAATCAAAATGTAGAAAACAATTCGGGCGTTCTGCTCTCCCAAAATTCCATCCGATGGGCGGGGGAGCGACTGAATTTTGCGTTGCATTATGGGTAACACTTGCCTTCGCAACTTCCGGTTCTCTCTGCCCGGCGCATTTTCTCTAAATGGTTGAGTGTTTTCGTCATTTTACATTATGCAAATACATTCCCGTCTCTAACTAGTGGCATATCGCGCAAATCATCCGTCCAATTCACATTCTTCCCTCTTAGCTGAACTTCATTCTCATTGTTACCATCTGTCACTCGCACACACAGCCGTTTTCGTTCACTCTGCTCGCTGTCATCTTCTTCTAAATCTTCATAAACACCATCCGCTCGTTGAACTAGCAACAACAATTCCTCCTTTCGTTTTCCCACACTGCAAATACCCTTTCGCTTCAACCTTTCACGCAATTCAGGCACTGTCAATTGCTTGTTGTTTTCGTGAGCCATATTCGCCATTGTATGAAATCAACCGGAAGTGAACTGGGCAACAAACGGTGTCATTTTTTGATCACAGCGCCGCTCAGTGGATGGAATTTTGGGAGAGCAGAACGCCCGAATTGAATAAGGTTTCATCAGCACAGCAGCACTGTGTTTTCTTGTAGATTATAGTACCCTGACAACAAGGTATGTGTTAGGGCTTCATTCATAATAATGTGCTTTATGATAATAGCGGTAGTCTATGCCATACCTTTTCTCAGTACTGATAGTGACAATTATTAGTCAAAGAATTGCACCACTTACAAAACTGCTCATAACACGGTGCCTGCACAGCTTTGGTGTTGTGTAGTAGACTAATCTTATTTTATTTTTATGTTTATTGACAATTGGGACAATTCCTGGTAATGAATACACCTCTCCAGATTGTAGCCTTGGGCTGATTTGCAACCGTTGTCCCAAATTCACCCTCATAAACACACACTCATTTACTCTGAACTATTGTAAGTGTTTTTTAGTGGTAAGGGGAACCGGAGTACCCAGAGGAAACCTTTGCAGACACGAGGAGAACATGCAAACTCCATTCAGCCCAAATGTTAAAATGTTTAAAAAGATTAGTTCAGTTGTATTTTGGACCAGTAGGCGAGACTAGACTAATATTTATGGACTGGACTAATAAAAACATGTCTGATACCAATATTTTAATATTGGACTTTTTCCTGTTTCTGTTTTAGCCTTGATCTCTGCCATACTTCTTGCGTTGTTTGTCAGTTTCGTTTGCACAATTCACCAGACCCCTGTATCGGCATCTCTAATCCTTCACACGCACACAGGTCTCCATCGTCCTTTCCCAGGTGTTCCCAATTCACCGGAAAACCTGACGCAACCGGCTGCACTAAAACATGTCAGCGCACCGATCGCCCATACTTCAATTCAACCAAGTCCATATTGTAACAACAGAAGGGAAATGGCCAAAAGGTCAGAGTAGACTTTCATTATGTGAGCTGTGGACATGTTTTGTTCTCTGTTGTGGAAGAGGACAGGCTGACTCCACACACCTGTGCACTGGGGATGTAAACAAGCTGACTACAGGCAAAAGGACATAAGTGCAGAGCGACAGATGGCAGAAAGTTTTCACATGTCGTTGGGAGGTCTTTTTGATGTCACTAATGTTCTGTTATATGCTTGAAGCTGTTCACTTGTAAACAGAGCAGTATTGGCATAATTTAAAACCATGGATACCTTGTTTTTTTCATTATCTTGAGGGGACAAAAACCAACACAAATACTGAAACATGCAAAAATGCTTGCTTAAGGATCACACAAAACTGAATGCTATACGTCTAGACATATCGCCAAAGTT